ATTCAAAACTGGAAAACTTGTATCCCTCAGCGAACAAAACGTTACACCCATCCCACGAATTAACTGGACTAAAGAAATTAAATTAATCCAAAATGGGTTTGAAAAATATCTTATCATCAAAAATAACGTCGTATATCTCTCAAACAAGGAAGCTACGCTAATGATTTATACGAGGACCTACGAATAATAATTTCTGTTTTTGGAATGTCAATATTCATCTAATAAAACGAAAAGTCAGAAAAAAGAAGAATAGTGGAAACTTTACAAATTCATAACTGGAAAACTTGTATCCCTCAGCGAACAAAACTTTACACCTCCCCCGAATTACTGGACTAAGAAATTAATTAATCCAAAAGGGTTTGGAAAATTCTTGATTTAAAATAACTTGGTATATCTCTCAAATAAGAAGATACACTGATGTTTGTACCAGTACCTACGAATACTAATTTCCATTTTTGGAATATCAATATTCATTTAATAAAGCGAAAAGTCAGAAAATAGAAGAATAATGGAAACGTTACAAATTCAAAACTAGAAAACTTGTATCCCTCAGCGAACAAAACTTTACACCCATCCCACGAATTAACTGGACTAAAGAAATTAAATTAATACAAAATGGGTTTGGAAAAATACCTTGTGATTTAAAATAACTTTGCATATCTCTCAAACAAGGAAGCTACGCTAATGATTTATAAGAGGACCTACCAATAATAATTTCTGTTTTTGGAATATCAATATTCATCTAATAAAACGAAAAGTCAGAAAAAAGAAGAATAATGCAAACGTTACAAATTCAAAACTGGAAAACTTGTATCCCTCAGCGAACAAAACTTTATACCCATCCCACGAATTAACTGGACTAATGAAATTAAATTAATCCAAAATGGGTTTGAAAAATATCTTATAATTCAAAATAACTTGGTATATCTCTCAAACAAGGAAGCTACGCTAATGATTTATACGAGGACCTACGAATAATAATTTCTGTTTTTGGAATATCAACATTCATCTAATAAAACGAAAAGTCAGAAAAAAGAAGAATAATTGAAACGTTACAAATTCAAAACTGGAAAACTTGTATCCCTCAGCGAACAAAACGTTACACCCATCCCACGAATTAACTGGACTAAAGAAATTAAATTAATCCAAAATGGGTTTGAAAAATATCTTATCATCAAAAATAACGTCGTATATCTCTCAAACAAGGAAGCTACGCTAATGATTTATACGAGGACCTACGAATAATAATTTCTGTTTTTGGAATGTCAATATTCATCTAATAAAACTAAAAGTCAAAATTTTCTCATGACTGTGCCAGCACATCTGCTGATTGTCAATAGTTATAATTTACAGGTGCGGATAAATATATGTAAGTGCAAAAAAAAAAAAAAAGTCAAAATATAGAAGAATAATGGAAACGTTACAAATTCAAAACTGGAAAACCTGTATCCCTCAGGTAACAAAACTTTACACCAATCCCACGAATTAATTGGACTAAAGAAATTAAATTAATCCAAAATGGGTTTTGAAAATATCTTATAATTCAAAATAACTTCGTATATCTCTCAAACAAGGAAGATCAGCTGATGATTTGTACGAGAACCTAAAAATAGTAATTTCCGTTTTTGGAACATCAAGATTCATCTAATAAATCGAAAAGTCAGAAAATAGAAGAATAATGGAAACGTTACAAATTAAAAACAGGAAAACTTGTATCCCTCAGCGAACAAAACTTTACATCCGTCCCCCGAATTGACTGGACTAATGAAATTAATTAAATCCAAAACGGGTTTGGTAAAATTCCATGTGATTTAAAATAACTTGGTATATCTCTCAAATAAGAAAGATACACTGATGGTTTGTACCAGTACCTACGAATACTAATTTCCATTTTTGGAATATCAATATTCATTTAATAAAGCGAAAAGTCAGAAAATAGAAGAATAATGGAAACGTTACAAATTCAAAACTAGAAAACTTGTATCCCTCAGCGAACAAAACTTTACACCCATCCCACGAATTAACTGGACTAAAGAAATTAAATTAATCCAAAATGGGTTTGAAAAATATCTTATCATTCAAAATAACTTCGTATATCTCTCAAACAAGGAAGCTACGCTGATGATTTGTACGAGAACCTAAGAATAGTAATTTCCGTTTTTGGAATATCAATATACATCTAATAAAACTAAAAGTCAAAATTTTCTCATGACTGTGCCAGCACATCTGCTGATTGTCAATAGTTATAATTGACAGGTGCGGATAAATATATGTAAGTGCAAAAAAAAAAAAAAAGTCAAAAAATAGAAGAATAATGGAAACGTTACAAATTCAAAACTGGAAAACCTGTATCCCTCAGGTAACAAAACTTTACACCAATCCCACGAATTAATTGGACTAAAGAAATTAAATTAATCCAAAATGGGTTTTGAAATTATCTTATAATTCAAAATAACTTCGTATATCTCTCAAACAAGGAAGATCAGCTGATGATTTGTACGAGAACCTAAAAATAGTAATTTCCGTTTTTGGAACATCAAGATTCATCTAATAAATCGAAAAGTCAGAAAATAGAAGAACAATGGAAACGTTACAAATTAAAAACAGGAAAACTTGTATCCCTCAGCGAACAAAACTTTACATCCGTCCCCCGAATTGACTGGACTAATGAAATTAATTAAATCCAAAACGGGTTTGGTAAAATTCCATGTGATTTAAAATAACTTGGTATATCTCTCAAATAAGAAAGATACACTGATGGTTTGTACCAGTACCTACGAATACTAATTTCCATTTTTGGAATATCAATATTCATTTAATAAAGCGAAATGTCAGAAAATAGAAGAATAATGGAAACGTTACAAATTCAAAACTAGAAAACTTGTATCCCTCAGCGAACAAAACTTTACACCCATCCCACGAATTAACTGGACTAAAGAAATTAAAAATATCCAAAATGGGTATTGAAAATATCTTATAATTCAAAATAACTTCGTATATCTCTCAATTAAGGAAGCTACGCTAATGATTTATACGAGGACCTACGAGTAATAATTTCTGTTTTTGGAATGTCAATATTCATCTAATAAAATGAAAAGTCATAAAATAGAAGAATAATGGAAACGTTAAAAATTCATAACTGGAAAACTGGTATCCCTCAGCGAACAAAACTTTACACTCATCCCACGAATTAACTGGACTAAAGAAATTAAATTAATACAAAATGGGTTTGGAAAAATACCTTGTGATTTAAAATAACTTCGCATATCTCTCAAACAAGGAAGCTACGCTAATGATTTATACGAGGACCTACGAATAATAATTTCTGTTTTTGGAATATCAATATTCATCTAATAAAACGAAAAGTCAGAAAAAAGAAGAATAGTGGAAACTTTACAAATTCATAACTGGAAAACTTGTATCCCTCAGCGAACAAAACTTTACATCCGTCCCCCGAATTGACTGGACTAATGAAATTAATTAAATCCAAAACGGGTTTGGTAAAATTCCATGTGATTTAAAATAACTTGGTATATCTCTCAAATAAGAAAGATACACTGATGGTTTGTACCAGTACCTACGAATACTAATTTCCATTTTTGGAATATCAATATTCATTTAATAAAGCGAAAAGTCAGAAAATAGAAGAATAATGGAAACGTTACAAATTCAAAACTAGAAAACTTGTATCCCTCAGCGAACAAAACTTTACACCCATCCCACGAATTAACTGGACTAAAGAAATTAAAAATATCCAAAATGGGTTTGGAAAAATACCTTGTGATTTAAAATAACTTCGCATATCTCTCAAACAAGGAAGCTACGCTAATGATTTATACGAGGACCTATGAATAATAATTTCTGTTTTTGGAATATCAATATTCATCTAATAAAAGGAAAAGTCAGAAAAAAGAAGAATAGTGGAAACTTTACAAATTCATAACTGGAATACTTGTATCCCTCAGCGAACAAAACTTTACATCCGTCCCCCGAATTAACTGGACTAATGAAATTAATTAAATCCAAAACGGGTTTGGAAAAATTCCTTGTGATTTAAAATAACTTGGTGTATCTCTCAAATAAGAAAGATACACTGATGGTTTGTACCAGTACCTACGAATACTAATTTCCGTTTTTGGAATATCAATATTCATCTAATAAATTGAAAAGTCAGAAAAAAAAGAATAGTGGAAACGTTACAAATTCAAAACTGGAAAACATGTATCCCTCAGCGAACAAAACTTTACACCCATCCCACGAACTAACTGGACTAAAGAAATTAATTAAATCGAAAACGGGTTTGGAAAAATATCATGTCATTCATGATAACTTCGTATGTCTCTCTAAAAAGGAAGATCCGCTGATGATTTGTACGAGAACCTACGAATAATAATTTCTGTTTTTGGAATATCAATATTCATCTAATAAAACGAAAAGTCAGAAAATAGAAGAATAATGGAAACGTTACAAATTAAAAACAGGAAAACTTGTATCCCTCAGCGAACAAAACTTTATATCCGTCCCCCGAATTGACTGGACTAATGAAATTAATTAAATCCAAAACGGGTTTGGTAAAATTCCATGTGATTTAAAATAACTTGGTATATCTCTCAAATAAGAAAGATACACTGATGGTTTGTACCAGTACCTACGAATACTAATTTCCGTTTTTGGCATATTAATATTCATCTGATAAAACGAAAAGTCCGAAAATAGAAGAATAATGCAAACGTTACAAATTCAAAACTGAAAAACTCGTATCCCTCAGCGAACAAAACTTTACACCCGTCCCCTGAATTAACTGGAATAAAGAAATTAATTATATCCAAAATAGGTTTTGAAAAATATCTTGTCATTCCTAATAATTTCGTATGTCTCTCTAAAAAGGGATATCCGCTGATGATTTGTACGAGAACCTAAGAATAGTAATTTCCGTTTTTGGAATATTAATATTCATCTGATAAAACGAAAAGTCAGAAAATAGAAGAATAATGCAAACGTTACAAATTCAAAACTGGAAAACTTGTATCCCTCAGCGAACAAATCTTTACATCCATCCCACGAATTAACTGGACTAAAGAAATTAAATTAATCCAAAATCTGTTTGGAAAAGATCTTATAATTCAAAATAACTTCGTATATCTCTCAAACAAGGAAGGTACGCTAATGATTTATACGATGACCTACGAGTAATAATTTCTGTTTTTGGAATGTCAATATTCATCTGATAAAACGAAAAGTCAGAAAATAGAAGAATAATGCAAACGTTACAAATTCATTACTGGAAAACTGGTGTCCCTCAGCGAACAAAACTTTACACCCATCTTACGAATTAACTGGATTAAAGAAATTAAATTAATCCAAAATGGGTTTGGAAAAATACCTTGTGATTTAAAATACTTTCGATAACTCTCAAACAAGGAAGCTACGCTAATGATTTATACGAGGACCTACGAATAATAATTTCTGTTTTTGGAATATCAATATTCATCTAATAAAACGAAAAGTCAGAAAAAAAAAGAATAGTGGAAACGTTACAAATTCATAACTGGAAAACTTGTATCCCTCAGCGAACAAAACTTTACACCCATCCCACGAATTAACTGGACTAAAGATATTAATTAAATCGAAAACAGGTTTGGAAAAATATCATGTCATTTATAATAACTTCGTATGTCTCTCTAGAAAGGAAGATACACTAATGATTTGTACGAAGACGTACGAATACTAATTTCCGTTTTTGGGATATTAATATTCATCTGATATACGAAAAGTCAGAAAATAGAAGAATAATGCAAACGTTACAAATTCAAAACTGAAAACTTGTATCCCTCAGCGAACAAAACTTTTTATCCGTCCCCCGAATTAACTGGACTAATGAAATTAATTAAATCCAAAACGGGTTTGGAAAAATTCCCTGTGATTTAAAATAACTTGGTGTATCTCTCAAATAAGAAAGATACACTGATGGTTTGTACCAGTACCTACGAATACTAATTTCCGTTTTTGGAATATCAATATTCATTTAATAAAGCGAATAGTCAGAAAAAAGAGGAATAGTGGAAACGTTACAAGTTCATAACTGGAAAACTGGTATCCCTCAGTGAACAAAACTTTACATTCGTCCCTCGAATTAACTGGACTAAAGAAATTAAATTAATCCAAAATGGGTTTGGAAAATATCTTATAATTCAAAATAACTTCGTATATCTCTCAATTAAGGAAGCTACACTAATGATTTATACGAGGACCTACGAATAATAATTTCTGTTTTTGGAATGTCAATATTCATCTAATAAAATGAAAAGTCAGAAAATAGAAGAATAATGAAAAAGTTACAAATTCATAACTGGAAAACTTGTATCCCTCAGCGAACAAAACTTTACATCCATCCCCCGAATTAACTGGACTAATGAAATTAATTAAATCCAAAACGGGTTTGGAAAAATTCCTTGTGATTTAAAATAACTTGGTATATCTCTCAAATAAGAAAGATACACTGATGGTTTGTACAAGGACCTATGAATACTAATTTCTGTTTTTGGAATATCAATATTCATCTAATAAAACGAAAAGTCAGAAAAAAAAAGAATAGTGGAAACGTTACAAATTCATAACTGGAAAACTTGTATCCCTCAGCGAACAAAACTTTACACCCATCCCACGAATTAACTGGACTAAAGATATTAATTAAATCGAAAACAGGTTTGGAAAAATATCATGTCATTTATAATAACTTCGTATGTCTCTCTAGAAAGGAAGATACACTAATGATTTGTACGAAGACGTACGAATACTAATTTCCGTTTTTGGGATATTAATATTCATCTGATAAAACGAAAAGTCAGAAAATAGAAGAATAATGCAAACGTTACAAATTCAAAACTGGAAAACTTGTATCCCTCAGCGAACAAAACTTTTTATCCGTCCCCCGAATTAACTGGACTAATGAAATTAATTAAATCCAAAACGGGTTTGGAAAAATACCTTGTGATTTAAAATAACTTGGTATATTTCTCAAATAAGAAAGATACACTGATGGTTTGTACAAGGACCTACGAATACTAATTTCCGTTTTTGGAATATCAATATTCATCTAATAAAGCGAAAAGTCAGAAATAAAAAGAATAGTGGAAACGTTACAAATTCATAACTGGAAAACTTGTATCCCTCAGCGAACAAAACTTTACATCCGTCCCCCGAATTAACTGGACTAATGAAATTAATTAAATCCAAAACGGGTTTGGAAAAATTCCTTGTGATTTAAAATAACTTGGTGTATCTCTCAAATAAGAAAGATACACTGATGGTTTGTACCAGTACCTACGAATACTAATTTCCGTTTTTGGAATATCAATATTCATTTAATAAAGCGAATAGTCAGAAAAAAGAGGAATAGTGGAAACGTTACAAGTTCATAACTGGAAAACTGGTATCCCTCAGTGAACAAAACTTTACACTCGTCCCTCGAATTAACTGGACTAAAGAAATTAAATTAATCCAAAATGGGTTTGGAAAATATCTTATAATTCAAAATAACTTCGTATATCTCTCAATTAAGGAAGCTACGCTAATGATTTATACGAGGACCTACGAATAATAATTTCTGTTTTTGGAATGTCAATATTCATCTAATAAAATGAAAAGTCAGAAAATAGAAGAATAATGAAAAAGTTACAAATTCATAACTGGAAAACTTGTATCCCTCAGCGAACAAAACTTTACATCCATCCCCCGAATTAACTGGACTAATGAAATTAATTAAATCCAAAACGGGTTTGGAAAAATTCCTTGTGATTTAAAATAACTTGGTATATCTCTCAAATAAGAAAGATACACTGATGGTTTGTACAAGGACCTATGAATACTAATTTCCGTTTTTGGAATATCAATATTCATCTAATAAAGCGAAAAGTCAGAAAAAAGAAGAATAATGGAATCGTTACAAATTCAAAACTGGAAAACTTGTATCCCTCAGCGAACAAAACTTTACATCCGTCCCCCGAATTAACTGGACTAATGAAATTAATTAAATCCAAAACGGGTTTGGAAAAATACCTTGTGTTTTAAAATAACTTGGTATATCTCTCAAATAAGAAAGATACACTGATGGTTTGTACCAGTACCTACGAATACTAATTTCCGTTTTTGGAATATCAATATTCATTTAATAAAGCGAAAAGTCAGAAAAAAGAAGAATAGTGGAAACGTTACAAGTTCATAACTGGAAAACTGGTATGCCTCAGTGAACAAAACTTTACACTCGTCCCTCGAATTAACTGGACTAAAGAAATTATATAAATCCAAAATGTTTTTGGAAAAATTACTTGTGTTTTAAAATAACTTCATTAAAGCAAATCATTAATCAAGATTTTTGGTGTTTTCATTTCCGTCAGCGGAATATCAATATTATTCAAATTAAAAAGTTTGAAAACAAAATAATGTTAGAAACTTGACAAATTCAAAACTGCAAAACTTGTTTCTCTCAATGAACAAACTTTACACCCGTTCCACAAGACTAAACAGATTAATTTAATACCAATTGGGTCTCGATTAATAATACATAATATCATGTTATTCAAAAGAATTTCGTATATCACTATAGCTATAACAGATAGGCAGATGGTTAATCAAGAACTTGGGTGTTAGCATTTACGTTTTCATTATTTCAAAGTTCACTAAATTAAACGAAAAGTCAGGAAACAGAAGAATAGCAAAAACGTGACAAATTCAAAACTGGAAAACTGGTATTCCTCAGTGAACAAAACTTTACACCTGTTTCAAAATTAAATTAAATTAATTAAATCCAACATGGGTCTGGATAAAGGTATTTTCATTTAAAATAATTTTGTATATTGCTTAAACAATGAAAGATATGATATTGATTTGTGTGGACCCATGAATTGTAATTCTGTTTGTGGAATATCAGTATTCATCAATTAAAACAAAAAGTTAGAAAAAGAGATGAATGTTACAAACGTGATAAATTCAGAACCGAAAAACTGGTATCCCTCAGTGAACAAAATTTTATAGCCTTTCCATGTATAAAATGGACTGAAATTGGTTAAATCCATAATGGGCCAGCTTAAATATTTCGAAATAACTTTTCTTCCAAAACAAATAGGTATATGTTGAAGTTATGAAAGATAATTTAATAGTTAGTAACATGTACAATCTTTCTGTGTTTCTTTCTTTCTGAAATTGTAAAGTATGTACTGTCTTTTCTGTTTGAAGAATATCAATAATTATTAAATTAAAGTAAAAAAAACTGAAGGGTGATACCTGATAAATTCAGAAACACAAAAATTGTAGCTTCCAGGATACCAAGCTATACAGCTTTTCAAAAATCTACCAAAAGTTATAACATCTATTTTTTTGAGGCAATATAATTTGTCCATGCTACAAGAACTAAAGAAAATAAATAAATCCACAAGGTGTTGGAATAAATATTGCAAAATAACTGGCCCTTCTAAACCTAAGAGATTCATGAAGTCATCATACTCTGTAAATTAGTTGTAAGCTCACAAATATAAGAAAATAATAATAGAATGATTATTTAGAAATAGGCGTAGTTTATATAATTCAATGTTTATAGAATGGTTAACTTTGTTTGTTGGAGTTTAAATAAAAAAAAAAAAGGAAAAACTAGTATTTCTCTGCAAAGAAAACTTCATAACTGTTCCACAATTATTTTTTAAATTTTGATTCTTTTTTTTTCGGGTATTGTAATATTTTAATGATCTGGCTATCATTAATTTTAAATCAAATAAAAAAAAGAGTTGATATAAAAAGAGCGAAGCTAGTATTAACTGTTAATAAAATCCGATTTCAGGAACATTTCTCCTTACTAATTTATATATGCTTGATATTCAAAGCTGTGTCATTGATCATGTTTGTCCTTCACAGTGAAATTCAAAAGCAGGAATTTCTGAAAACAAAAAATATTTAAAAATAATTTGACCAAAACATTTTGCAGCTAATATTTAAATATAAATTATAATTGATCACTTTTGTAAGTATGGAATAACAAGACTGCCAGCACAAGATATCATTTGATTCGCTGTCAGTTCCTCAATTTTAAAATATTAACTCTATTAATCTAAATGTTAATGAATTTTCCTAAATAACATCTTTTTTATTTATGTTAAAAATCATAATATTTTTGTCCAGCCTCATTAGTGGCACGGAGACAATATATAAGTGATCCCTACCTGTGTTATGAGTAGTGCTTCTGGAACAGTCATCAACCATTTCCTAGTTGTGTTTCAATATTATTTGCCCCTTTCCCAGAAATCATGCCATAAACTCGTCAATAAAAGAAGACACTGTTCATAGTTTACAGAAAATTGTTATTTCAACTTCATGTAATATTTCTTATCTAAAATACAAACTGATCACAAAAGAAATCTATGTTTTAGATTTCAAAGTAAATATTGAAAATAAAATTTTTACATTTTTGATACACCATCTTCTAAAAAACACTGTTTATGATGTAATTTGAGTAATATACCATCCTCAGTTAAATAAAATTCCTCAATTAACCTGTGAGTGATAAATTAAATCTGAAAATCATGTTAATTAATTGACAATTGAATTGCTTCTTACAGTAAAATTATTTTATTTACTTAAATATCATATAAAGCAATATTATTTATCAGTATATTAGTATTTTACCAACAAATCCTTAGCTGGATAGGAAGGAAAGAACAATTATGATAAATTCTAATCATATGAACCTAAAAAGTACATAGAAAAACATAAAGTAAAATGCATAGACATAGTGTGGAAAAACAAGAAAAGTTGGATAAGATCAGTGATGATTCATTATTTTTTATTTTGGTCATAAAAAAGAATAATAAAGGAAAGAATAATATCAATTTTACACAAGTTTATAATTTTCTTGAAAACGGCTCTACTAATTTCTTTAAAATTGTCATGCTAAAGTAAAATTAAATGATCCATAATATCATGTAGATGTTAACCTCATGACAATTATCTGACAGGGTTTGAATGCCAAATTTTCAATATTTATGCTTATTGTTAATAGTAGTATAGAATGAATCGATATGAACTATAAATGAACTTTATAATTAACTTGAGGAGAAAATGGGAGAAATATTTTCAAACAAAGTTTCAGCATGAGCATAAATAATTAATAAATTTATGAGTTGAAAACATTATGACTACTTGAAGAAGATTGAACTATAATATAAAATGTAACAAAAAAACAGCACAACACCAATGATTCTAATGGGTAGAAGTGATAAACAAACAATCAATAAATCATTTTTAGAAACAAAATAATACTTACAATTAAGTATTAAACTCTAAACGGAACTTATAGGGATATTTCTTCATCAGTTACCATTTTACACCTAGTAATTATTTCATATTTTATGTTTTAATTACTAAGTTTCAACAGAAGATTAGTCTGGAACCACAATAACCAGCTGAAAAACAAATGAAGATTTTTTTTTTTATATGTCTATGACATGAACAGATACATTTTCCAAATGTTTTTATTCAAATTTAAAGATTATTTTTTATGCATCCTAAGTTTGATTGAAGAAAATGATATATTTTTATTTTCACTTACATGTAATATATAGTAAGGGTAAATTTGTGATCATGAAAATTTTGAAGTCTGAGTTTTCTGGAGTTCCTCCAGAAATGACGTAGGGGAAACTCTTAAATATCAGGACAATTTAATTTTTCTCTGAAAAGTTTATACGACATTAATCATGAATATCTAATGGAGGACTCATAAATCTTGAAAATGGCCCTAGTTGAAACGTCGTAATAAAATAGCTAATAAATAAAATGTTGGTGAATAATGGCTTAATTTATATAACAAATAAAATATCTAATATAGAAAGTTGTAGAAGGTAACGGAGAGTGGGAAAAAATTATAAATAATAATCTCTTAAAACTAACATTATTTAACGTGAATCACATGTTTTAAAGAAAATTAAATGAAATTTACTAACTAAATGTAAGCTTTTAAAATATTTT